GTAGCCATCGGCAGTGCTTTACCATATTTACCTAGAGCACTCCACCACAACAACCCCATTCAAGATGGCTATGCTCGTGTCACGGTGGAGGACATAGTCCAAGGGTTTGAGGACCTGGAGATTGACATTGCTACACCTGAAGGGGAGAAAAGACTTGGAGATGTCAAGCGCCATTTCATTCTATGGCAAAAGAAGTTTATCAAGTTTCCAGGCGAGGCGCCAAGGACAACAAGTCCACCCCCCTACGGTGGTGGTGGTGGCGGTGGCGGCGGTGGTGGTGGTGGTGGTGGTGGCGGTTCACCTACACCTCCGTCACGTCAGCCGACGCCGCCCCCCAGTCCACAACGTCCGGCGGGTGATCAGCCGCCGCCCCCCAGTCCTCGTACGACGGGTGATCAGACGCCGCCCCCCAATCCACCTCCGGCAAAGAAGCAGAAGCAGTCCTGGATTATTAACCCGGACCCTTATGTACCTAAGACCACAAAGGTACCGGAGCCATCACTGAAGCCTCTCCCCACAAGGCCTTGGGAACGTAGTGCCGAGGAAGTCGACGCGGCCGCGGCTGCTGATTTGGAGAAATGGAAGGCGGACTGCAAGAAGAAAACAGAGCCCGAGCCCAAGCCAGTATTTTCTGATGAGCAAAAGAAGTGGGCTAAGTCATTTTTGAGCACACCGTCCCAAGCCGCGAAGAATCTGCCTAACGACTATGCACGTGAACTTCGCAGGCAGGCACTCATGTTCAAGGAGAACAAAGAGCGGGAGAAGGCCGAAAGTAAAAAAAGCGGGAAACAAGTTGCCCAGCTCGGGGAACAAAGTAAACAATCGATTGCCCCGCTTATAGTGGAAGCCTTCTGTCCTGATGCCCCCGAGATCATACAAGCTGCGGCAGCACAGGGATTGACTGTAACGAGTGCCAGAGAACAAGCGGCCAACTTAGGTATTACTCTTCGTGAACTGTTAGGCCTTGATGAGGCGCCAGTGAAGGAGGTAGTAATTACATATGTCAAGAATGGGCCTCTCGTCGAGCCTGCGCAGGAAAAGGATCTACCTCCACAAATGAAAGGTCTGCTGAAATGGTACAAGGGTTACATAAAAAATAAAAACGCCAAAGAATATATTTATGCGGAAGTTAGACATGAGCATCACTTCAAACATTACTATGTACAAATTGAACTGAGTGAATTGTTCCAGCTTTTCAATCTGCGCGAGCTCGATAAATCTATCATCAGTTGCTACGTTCTGTAAGTGATTTATTAATTTCTACCCCATCTCGTTCATATTGCCTGCACTATATATATGTCCTAACTATATTGTTGTGTCCGCTATTATACATGCAGAATGAAGATTAAGGAATGCAGAGTAAGGAACATCCATGATGTTGGGTTCATTGACCCACACATCGTTAATGGACATGTGTTGGAGCGTCACCCCGCCGACGTGGAGGCAGACCTGTGGCAGTTTCTCACAAAGCAGGAACTCAAAAGTGATATTCTATTTCCTTACCATTTTGAGTGAGTGTTTCTGTCTTCAGCATATTCTCTTTTGTTTACTCCATGCATGGTATGTGGCCGGCTAATCGATGAGTTATGCATGACGTACTGTGCATGTATCGTGTCCGCAGGTTCCACTGGATTCTGCTAGTAATTAAAGTTAACACCTCAGAATGTCTCGTCCACGACTCTGTGAATATGGATCCAAAGCTTTGGGGCGGCATGAGAAGAATGTTGCAGAAGTAATTATTTTCATTCATTTGCGCTCTATATCGATCGGCCTATTTCGTTCATTTCCTAATATCAAGTAACTAATAACTCTCTTGTTCATTTAAGTTTCTTTGCCTCATAGGGTTTGGAGACGGTTCGTAGATACAAAGGTCGGTGAATTCAAAAAAGAGCTAGAATTCAAAATGTTAAAGGCTAAGAATGCTGGGGATATTCAGCCACCGGAGACCAATCTATGTGGATACTATGTCTGTGAGATGATCCGGAGATACACCTCTGAGCGGGTTCCGAGTGATACCAATGCTCAGAGGAATAACCTCCGGTGGATGCTTAGTCCAGAAGCTCGCTTCCGACCACTTCAAGAGGAACTAGCTGGATGGTTCAGCAGGGAAGTCCTCCATCCTAAAGGAGAACACTATTACGAGGACGTAGAACTTTATATGCATTAAATCATGTATGGAAACTTGTTCAAAATTGTATATGGTCATCCGATGATATTGAATATATATTGTATATTCCTCTTGAATTCTTTTTGGTTCTAATTTCAAATTTATTTGAAATTGTACATTCATATGCATGTATGTAGTACCGTAGAATATATGAAACTCCTTCAAAATTAAAATAAAGCACAAAAGAAATAAAACAATACAAATTAAACAGAAAACAGGTTTAAGGGGGGAGGTTTAGGGGGGGGGCTAAAACCCTAAACCTGCGGCGGCCTTTAGTCGCGGTTGGCCAGAAGAACCGCGACTAAAGGTCCTCCGCCCCGACGGCCACCTGGCGCCCACGTGGACGGGCCTTTAGTCGCGGTTCTTAAGCAACCGCGACTAAAGGGGGGGGGCCTTTAGTCGCGCCCGGTCGGTCGCGGTTGCGCAACCGCGACTAATGGCAGTTGCGAACCGCGACCAAAGGCCTTTTTTCCACCAGTGATGGTTTGTCAGAGCAACATCAACCCTCCCTGCCACGAATGTTGATTCTTTTAACCAGGTTTGGGAAGTGAAACATTACATACAAAACAATATTAAGATGGTAGCTTGCCGCACGTTACCTGACTAACATCAGTCTGATTAGACTATGCTTCAGCATAACAGCTAGGCCTTGCATAAGTACAACATATGCTCCTTTGTATTTTACAAATACAATGGTCTATTTTTGGACGAGAATGCTTTATTAGTATTAATAATGGTTTATTGTCAAGTGAAGGTACAAAGATCTATTTTAGTGTTTTTTTTTTGCGTTAGAAGAGAGTAAGGTGCAAACCTGACTCAACTGATTTCCAGTATTTTGGATAGAGTTCCAAGTATCTACCATATATTAATTATGTGTGAAAAATTCTTAGGATGTGGCCATCTAAATTTATTTGTTTTCTTAAGCCGCACAAACCAGATTCAAAGAGTTGCAAGAAAGGGGAACTATCTGAAATGATGTTCTACCTACTAACACCTAGCGACAATCAGGTGGGTTCAAAATCGGTTGCAGAAAAGAACCAAGTGATATTATGCTCACACAGCGAATGGAAGGTGCAACTTTTAACCAAGATGGCTTCTAGATCAATGTAAAATAACAGCACCACCTCCTACCTGGTGAGATCGGGGAATTGGTTAACGCCGAGGTGGTACGTGTAGGCCCTGTGTCGATCGACGAGGCGGAAATGGAATTCTCTCAAAAGAAAAAGGGGATAGATAGATTTAGTGTGCGGGTAAAACTAGGATAGATAGATAGATAACGTGTACTACCTCTGATTGGTTTTTGCTGAAAGGATTGTGACTTTTGTCTTGCACTGAACTGAACAAGTGTCCATGCAGTTCAGAATGTGAACTTCCGTCTCATTAAACAAGAAGAGCGAGGTTGGTCCTCCGTGATGCACTTATAGATCAATTTGATGATGAGACTCATCCCATCTTGAATACCCCTCTCTACATTTGTCAACTTCCATATATACTGATGTCCACATAAATCAGCTATGTAGTCTTGATGTTTCATATATACCATCGATTTTTTTGCCTCAAGCAATAAATATGTGTTGTGCAACAAGAAGTTTTTGCTATTATTCCCATATATGTGTTGTGCAACAAATATCATGAGAGTGACCACTCTAAGATTTTTATGTTGGTAATTATGTATGGTCCTAGCCATATTTGAGAGCATAAAATAGTCAAGGTATAGTATGTACTATCATTTTTCTTTTTGTGGTTAAAAGATATGATAGTTTAGTGGCCCAAGAAGAATTTTATAGATTACTTCCCTTCTGCTGCTGTTTATGAAGCGCACAGCGGATGAGGTGACAGTGGATGAGGTGAGCGTGCTCCTCTCGTACTCGCCGCACTGTCAGAGGGAGGCATCAAAGACACGCCGCCGCCAGGGCCGACATGTGCGGCAATTTCTATTGTAGTATCTTATACTGCCATGCAGCAAGATGCTTCTGTCGACGGTATTATATTGTTGTGTGTTGCCTGTGATGTCATTTTAGTTTGTTTCCCATGTGATGCATCGATATATTAAATTTATCAAGAATTGCATGTATGTGTTATCCAGATAAAAAAGAAAACCAAAAGGGTCGTTCCTTTACCTGGCATTACCTAGTTCTTTCAACACATTCTCTGATTCTGATTCAATAACACTACTTAATATAGGTAACAAGTGAAAGGGGCATATTCAATCTGGCATCGCCCCAGCTTCCTCTCAGGAGGCGCACGCCCCAACCACTAGTATGCGATCAAAAGTGGGATCCCTGAGCTCAGATACCAGGTCAACGATGCAGGGAGCACGTCGTGTCATAATAATGAAGAAAAGAGGCCCGCGCCCACCGAAAGGAACTCACACGCGGAGGTCTTAGTAGGAAGCAGTACGCGTCCGATCGCGTCTCCGTCTGTACCCCAACGCCAACCCAACCACATTTATTTCTGCTATATACTACGAGTATATCCTAACCATATTTACACAACCCCGGCCGACCGAAACCCACTCGTGCACGAGCACGACGCGACCGCCGTCCCGAGGCGCCCAACTTGCCTTCCGCGCGCGCGTCTCACATTAATAACACGAAACCGATCCCCGCCCGCGCTTCCTTCTCCCTCCCCTGCTGCCTGCCTGCGCTCCACCTACGTCTTAATGGTAGCTCCGGTGGTTGCACCCACCTCCCGCTTACTGCAGCCAATATATATCGCTTCCGATCTGATCCCACCTCTCATTCATCCCGGACAAACACTTCCCAACCCCGACCAACCGCATCCACCACGCACGCAAGCTAGCCGGCCCACTGTGCTACGTACGTACGCCACCATGAGCGCCGCCGCCCAAGAAACCACGGCCGGCGGCGGCGGCGATGGCAAGCGTCAGGGACCTTGCCGCCCGGGACACCTCAAGCTTGGCTACCACATCGTGGTGTCCAACGCGGTCTACGTACTGCTGGCCCCGTTCGCCGCGGCGTTGGCGCTCCGTGCGTCCCGTCTCACCCCGTCCGACCTGGCGGCAGCGCGCGCCTACCTCCTCGCCAACCTCCACCTCGCTGTCTCCCTCGTGTCCGTCGCCACGGCCCTCGCGACGGTCTACCTCGCGCGGCGGCCGCGCGCGGTGTACCTGCTAGACTTCGCGTGCTACAAGCCCGGGCCCGACCACGTGGTCACCCGGGAGACCTTCATGAAGCAGTCCAGCAAGGCCGGGGTGTTCACCGACGACAACCTGGCGTTCCAGCGGAAGATCCTGGAGCGGTCGGGGCTCGGGCAGGGGACCTACTTCCCGGCGGCGGTGCTCAACTCGCCCCCTAACCCGTGCATGGCGGAGGCGCGGCGGGAGGCGGAGGCTGTTATGTTCGGCGCCATCGACAGCCTGCTCGCCAAGACAGGGGTGCGGGCCAGGGACATCGGCGTCGTGGTCGTCAACTGCAGCCTCTTCAACCCGACGCCGTCGCTCTCCGCCATGGTCGTCAACCACTATAAGCTCCGCGGTAACGTCGCCAGCTACAACCTCGGCGGCATGGGATGCAGCGCCGGGCTCATCTCCATCGACCTCGCCAAGCAGCTGCTCCAGGTAATTTTTTATACCACTCGAGACTCCTCCTCGAGTACGTAGCGTAGTGTTAATTTCGCGGTGGGTTAGGGAGGGTGAGCGACCGCAGGTGTGCTCGCACGTCAGCCGATGGTTGGGTAGATGGACGGCGTGGATCGAACCCAGTGGGCGGTTGAGAAGGGAAAGCAAACTTTGACTTGGTTTGACTTTTCATACTTTTTTTGTCCTGTAGACCCATGCTGTCACCGTCAACATTCGCTGCTGCTGCTATACGCGTAGGATTATCCTCGAACATTAATAGTAGTTGGTTTTAGGCTAGTTATAGTAGGAGTAACTTAACTAGTACTCCATGCAACAACAACAAAAAAAACTTAACTAGTACTAGTAACATACTCCCATCTTTCATATATATACAGGGCCTAATATGTATTTGAGGTAGCCTTTGACCAATAATAAAATTATTAGTATATGGAATGTATAATATAAAGAGTATATCATTAGAAACTTCTTTCACATATGAATTCAATGGTATGCTTTGTGTAACATGCATGTCATATATCATTGTGCTAACCCATGGTCAAGGTAACCTCGAAAAACATATTGAACCCTATATAGGTGGAAGGAAGGAGTAGCGCATTTAAAAAAATTACTTATGAGGCATGTCTTTAACGAGGAGAGATGTGTTTAAAAATAACATAATATGTTATTGTACCAATAGCGCTTTTCAAAAGAACACAAGTCTACAAGCTAATAAATGAAGCCATCTATGACACCACAACTATGTTACTATGAGGGTGCTTGGATACGTTTTAGTCCCATGACTAAAAATAGTGGGACTAAAACTTGCTAGCCTCACCCATGCTTGGATACAAATACTAAATAGACTAAAATCGAGTTAATGGGCATTTATTATCCTTCAAACCCTCCAATCCAGAACTCGCATGTGCTACAGGAGAGGAGTTGAATGAGGAGAGAGAGGACTAATCCACATTTTAGTAGGGTTCCCTTGACTAAATTTTTTTAGTCTCAAGACTAGTTCTAGCCTCTCTTTAGTCAGGGGTGATTGGAACTTTAGCCTCTAAAAAAGACTAGTTTTAGTCAGACTAAAAATAGTCCCTTGGATTCAAGCATGCTCTATGACCAGCCTTAGGTATTATTTGTAATTTCAGTTGTAGTAAGTGAGTGGCAATCAGAATCTTAATCTCGCTGAACAGAGATCTGTATCCATGATTAATTTGTTGACTACACACCTGAGGAACTATAATCTTTTTTATTTTGGTGGGCCTGCGCACCATGCGTGCTTTGGGCGTTGTTGTTAAGATGATAACATCCCATTAATTAACACTCAACCACCGCTCCAGTAGCATTCCTACGTGTACTGATCGAAACCCGTACTGTTGGTGCACCAGCTCGGGAGCGAGTGTTTCCGTTTCATTCGCTTGTCCTCCCGAAATGGTCCAGGCAGCCAGTGTTTCCCAATATTTGAGTGGTTTAAGCACCTAAATTAAGGCTATAGGTAGAGCGTTGACGTGTCCAGGGATCGATCGATCCATCGACGAGCTAGCTGATCACCACTACTTGTCCTAATAGTAACATTGATGAGGGCAGCTAGCTGACAGGAAGAGCTCGTCCAATAAATCTCGTGTTGATGAGTTGGGTCAATTATTCGTCGACGATAGCTGTCTGTTGCGAATACGGATGCACATGCCGACGTCTAGTAGTAGTAGTAGTAGTAGGCATGTGTTTTTTTGGTTGACCGATTAATTTGCTTCTGATTGGAGTTGCCATGTTGTAATGGATGCATGCAGGTCCACCGGAACTCGTACGCGCTGGTGGTGAGCATGGAGAACATCACGCTGAACTGGTACTGGGGCAACGACCGCTCCATGCTCATGTCCAACTGCCTCTTCCGCATGGGCGGCGCGGCGATCCTCCTCAGCAACCGCGCCGCCGACAAGCGCCGCTCAAAGTACCAGCTCGTGCACACCGTGCGGACGCACCACGGCGCCGACGACCGCGCCTACCGCTGCGTGTTCCAGGAGGAGGACAAGGCCGGCCGGGTCGGCGTCGCGCTCTCCAAGGACCTCATGGCCGTCGCCGGCGAGGCCCTCAAGACCAACATCACCACGCTCGGGCCCCTCGTTCTCCCCATGTCCGAGCAGATCCTTTTCCTCACCTCTCTCATCGGCAAGAAGATCTTTGGCCTCAAGATGAAGCCCTACATTCCGGACTTCAAGATGGCGTTCGAGCACTTCTGCATCCATGCCGGCGGCAGGGCGGTGCTGGACACCATCGAGAAGAACCTGGAGCTCAATGACTGGCACATGGAGCCTTCAAGGATGACGTTGAACCGGTGGGGGAACACGTCCAGCAGCTCGCTCTGGTACGAGCTTGCGTACACGGAGGCCAAGGGACGCGTCCGGCGCGGGCACCGTGCGTGGCAGATCGCCTTCGGGTCAGGGTTCAAGTGTAACAGCGCGGTGTGGCGCGCGCTCAAAGACATTCACCCATCAAAGGAAGCGGGCAGCAACCCGTGGATTGAGGAGATCCACCGGTTCCCGGTCGAGGTGCCCAAGGTGGAGAGCGTCGTTTCATCGCCATGATAGACTCGTCAAGGTCGAGTACCAATGGTTTTCTAGAAAAGAATCTTTCTTTTCAAGTTGAAAGGTATCTGTTGAATTATTTGTATCATTGTGATGTAGCATCAAGTTAATTGATGGTTTGAGCTAGCTCAATTGATATGGAACTTCAATTGGTGTATTTTTGTTGGTTTGGCTGGGTGCCTCAGTTTGTTATAATATAAGGGAGTGACTACGTGCAAGGTGACTGTTTTTAATTTTTGGGTCAGTTGACTGACCATAATTTTTGCTCAGTCGATTTGCATGCAGCGGGACCATGGGCTGCCCCCGTCAAGTGCTACTGCAAAGTCAGATTTTTTTTTCTTTTGTACGTTGGTACAGACTGCTCTAGCATAGTGTTCAAAGCGTTTATAGGTGACGGAAGAATAGCACTCTCACACATATTTGCATGCAACGGTTAGTGATTATATGTGCAATCTCTCACACATGTATATTTATTTTTATATGCATGAATACAATACATACACATATACACATGTATATATCATTTTGAAGGGAGAGAAGGGGGGGTGCGGTACTTAAACCCATATTTGATATTTCTAACTCATTTATGTCTACTACTAATCATCGCACTAGACAACTTAATATTAGATTTTTTCGATAAATTACACAGGCCGTACTGAATGTTCTTATAGAAGCCACACAACTTTGGACCCGAATTGAGGATTGCACAAACATGCTTCATCTTTAAGCGGCTATTGAAAAATAAATGAAGTCTCACCCAAAATTTGAACTGTTAAATTAAAAATTGAGCACCTGTGTTGGTTTCACCTTAAAGAGTAAATGGTAAAAAAAATAAGAGTAAATACGAATAAAAAAAGAAACTTTATAAAAAATGAAATAGTACAATTGGTATTAACCTTAAAGAACAAAACAATGAAAACAAATAATGACAAAATTTGCACACAATTTACACAGAAATTGCGCTATTCTAAAATATGCAAGAATATGTGTATAATAAAGGAATTTTCACAAAAAAGAAAGTTTCCTAGGAAGAAATAAATTTTTTGAGAGCAATGCCCTTGGGTGCACTTTATTAAAATCAAATGACGGTTACATCAAAAACAATTTCTGGGACAAGACAATAAATTATTAGCATTGGTATTACCCTTAACGAAGAAACAAAACAAAATAAAACTGAAGCAAATTCAAAATAATAAAGTTTTCTATGAAAGAATGAACTAGTGGCTTTTGTATTACCCTTCAATAAGAAAGAAGATGAAATAAATACTAAAACGGACTCAAAGTAGTGAAATTTCCAAAGAAAAAATGAATTTGTGAAATTGGTATTACGATTTAAGAAAAAAAACACAAAACAAATCTAAATCAGACAATTACAAATTTACACACGATATACATAAAAAATGCGCGTTATAAGAATACACAAGAATAAGCATATGAAAGTGAATTTTTTTTCAAAAAAAAAATTCCTATGTACGATTGAATTAATGACATTCGTATTACATTAAAAAAAGAAAAAAAATGAAATAAATACTAAAACAAAACCAAAATAATGAAATTTTCTAAGGAAGAATGAATTGGTGGGCGTTTGATACGTCTCCAATGTATCTATAATTTTTTATTGTTCCACGCTATTATATTACCTGTTTTGGATGTTTAATGGGCTTTACTATACACTTTTATATCATTTTTGGGACTAACCTACTAACCGTAGGCCCAGCCCAAATTGTTGTTTATTGCCTATTTCAGTGTTTCGCAGAAAAGGAATATCAAACGGAATGAAACCTTCGGGAGAGTTATTTTTGGAACGGAATCAATCCAGGAGACTTGGAGTAGACGTCAGGGAAGCAACGAGGAAGCCACGAGGCAGGGAGGCACGCCCTACCCCCCTGGGCGTGCCCCCCGCCCTTGTGGGCCCCTCATGGCTCCCCTGTATGACTTCTTTCGTCTATATATGTCTATATTGTTGGGGAACATTGCATAAAATAAAAAATTTCCTACGTTCACCAAGATCAATCTATGAGTTCATCTAGCAACGAGAAAGAGAAGTGCATCTACATACCCTTGTAGATCGCGTGCGGAAGCGTTCAAGAGAACGGGGTTGAGGGAGTCGTTCTCGTCGTGATCCAAATCACCGGAGATCCTAGCGCCGAACGGACGGCACCTCCGCGTTCAACACACGTATGGTCAGCGTGACGTCTCCTCCTTCTTGATCCAGCAAGGGGGGGAGGAGAGGTTGATGAATATCCAGTAGCACGACGACATGGTGGTGGATGCAGCAGGGCTCCGGCAGGGCTTCGCCAAGCAACTATGGGAGGAGGAGGTGTAGCAGGGAGGGGAGGGAGGCGCCAGGGTGTTGGGTGCGGCTGCCCTCCCACCCCCCCCCCTCTTTATATAGGGACCCCAAGGGGGGCGCCGGCCCTAGAGATGGGATCTCTAGGGGGGCGGCGGCCAAGGGGGGTGGAGTGCCCCCCAAGGCAAGTGGAGGCGCCCCCTCCCCTAGGGTTCCCAACCCTAGGCGCAGAGGGGAGCCCAGGAGGGCGCACCAGCCCACTAGGGGCTGGTTCCCCTCCCACTTCAGCCCATGGGGCCCTTAGGGATAGGTGGCCCCACCCGGTGGACCCCCGGAACCATTCTGGTGGTCCCGGTACAATACTGGTGACTCCCGAAACTCTCGATGGCCGAAACTGCACTTCCTATATATAATTCTTTACCTCTGGACCATTCCGGAACTCCTTGTGACTTCCGGGATCTCATCCGAGACTCCGAACAACTTTCGGTTTGCTGCATACTCATATTCATACAACCCTAGCGTCACCAAACCTTAAGTGTGTAGACCCTACGGGTTCGGGAGATATGCAGACATGACCGAGACGGCTCTCCGGTCAATAACCAACAGCGGGATCTGGATACCCATGTTGGCTCCCACATACTCCTCGATGATCTCATCGAATGAACCACGATGTCGAGGATTTAAGCAACCCCGTATACAATTCCCTTTGTCAATCGGTACGTTACTTGCCCGAGATTCGATCGTCGGTATCCCAATACCTCGTTCAATATCGTTACCGGCAAGTCACTTTACTCATACCGTAATGCATGATCCCGTGACCAGACACTTGGTCACTTTGAGCTCATTATTCTGACGCACTACCGAGTGGGCCCAGAGATACCTCCCCGTCATACAGAGTGACAAATCCTAGTCTCGATCCGTGTCAACCCAACAGACACTTTTGGAGATACCTGTAGTGCACCTTTATAGTCACCCAGTTACGTTGTGACGTTTGGTACACCCAAAGCACTCCTACGGTATCCGGGAGTTACAAGATCTCATGGTCTAAGGAAAAGATACTTGACATTGGAAAAGCTCTAGCAAACGAACTACATGATCTTTGTGCTATGCTTAGGATTGGGTCTTGTCCATCACATCATTCTCCTAATGATGTGATCCCGTTATCAACGACATCCAATGTCCATAGACAGGAAACCATGACTATCTGTTGATCAACGAGCTAGTCAACTAGAGGCTCACTAGGGACATGTTGTGGTCTATGTATTCACACGTGTATTACGATTTCCGGATAATACAATTATAGCATGAATAAAAGACAATTATCATAAACAAGGAAATATAATAATAATCCTTTTATTATTGCCTCTAGGGCATATTTCCAACAGTCTCCCACTTGCACTAGAGTCAATGATCTAGTTACATTGTGATGAATCGAACACCCATAGAGTTCTGGTGTTGATCATGTTTTGCTCGTGGAAGAGGTTTAGTCAACGGATCTGCGACATTCAGATCCGTATGTACTTTGCAAATATCTATGTCTCCATCTTTAACATTTTCACAGATGAAGTTGAAACGACGCTTGATGTGCCTGGTCTTCTTGTGAAACCTGGGCTCCTTGGCAAGGGCAATAGCTCCAGTGTTGTCATAGAAGAGAGTGATCGTCCCCGACGCATTGGGTATGACTCCTAGGTCGGTGATGAACTCCTTCATCCATATTGCTTCATGGCTACCACCGAGGCTGCCATGTACTCCGCTTCACATGTAGATCCCGCCACGTCGCTCTTCTTGCAACTGCACCAGCTTACTGCTCCACGATTCAACATATACATGTATCCGGTTTTGTGACTTAGAGTCATCCAGATCTGTGTCGAAGCTAGCATCGACGTAACCCTTTATGACGAGCTCTTCGTCACCTCCATAAACGAGAAACATGTCCTTTATCCTTTTCAGGTACTTAAGGATATTCTTGACCGCTGTCCAGTGTTCCTTGTCGGGATTACTTTGGTACCTTCCTACCAAACTTACGGCAAGGTTTACATCAGGTCTGGTACACAGCATGGCATACATAATAGATCCTATGGCTGAGGCATAGGGGATGACACTCATCTCTTCTTTATCTTTTGCCGTGGCCGGGCATTGAGCCGAGCTCAATCTCACACCTTGCAATACAGGCAAGAACCCTTTCTTGGACTGATCCATTTTGAACTTCTTCAAAATCTTATCAAGGTATGTGCTTTGTGAAAGACCTATGAGGCGTCTCGATCTATCCCTATAGATCTTGATGCTTAATATGTAAGCAGCTTCTCCAAGGTCCTTCATTGAAAAACACTTATTCAAGTAGGCCTTAATGTTGTCCAAAAGTTCTATATCATTTCCCATCAAAAGTATACCATCTACATATAATATGAGAAATGCTACAGAGCTCCCACTCACTTTCTTGTAAACGCAGGCTTCTCCATAAGTCTGCATAAACCCAAACGCTTTGATCATCTCATCAAAGCGAATGTTCCAACTCCAAGATGCTTGCACCAGCCCATAAATGGATCGTTGGAGCTTGCATACCTTGTTAGCATTCCTAGGATCGACAAAACCCTCCGGCTGCATCATATACAGTTCTTCCTTAAGATAGCCGTTAAGGAATGCCGTTTTGACGTCCATCTACCATATCTCATAATCATAGTATGCGGCAATTGCTAACATGATCCGGACG